GACAATATTTTAAAATGGTAAGGGCAATATGGGGGTTTAAAATATATAATTTATCAACGTGATTTAAAAATTGATCAAATTTTGTTTTTAAAACAGGTTTAATACTATCGAAAAACAACGGAGCACCAAGCAGGTAAAGCGATTCCGAATTGACAGTTTTTATTCCTGGAGAAATCTGATTGAAATTTTGAATTAAGGTATCTCTGTTAGAATTAGATAAATTATTAGAAATAAATATTTCACATTTATTTGTATTTGGTTCAAGACCAATATTTTTAAAATTTTGAAAAATATGAGTAAGATCATTGAGGACGTCATCTGCTTTACCTCCCAGTGTACCGTCGTCCAGATACCAGACATTCAGCTTGGATTTTAAATTTGAAATAATAGGTTGAATTCCCAAACTGAAAAGAGCTGGACCTAATGGATCACCCTGCTGAACACCGACAGCAAATTCAATAATATGGTTTTGATAAAACAAGTTTGAATTTTGACTGTAACATTGCCAAACGTAATGATATATTTCGGGGGTATTGTTAGCCACTTCTTTCAGCAGGGTTATCCTATCAATTGAGTTAAAAGCATTTCTAAGATCAACCTTCAGAAGAACATCTACATTGGAATTAGGGGTGTGAAGTTAAGAAAGTACGCACCGAATGTACCGCCGCCTCACAGCCACCTTTGGTCCCAAAGCCTAGTTGAGTATGGTTGAAATTTTGTCTTAAGGTTTGAGATTATGTGCCTGCAAGCTAATTTTGAAGTTAAACGTCGAAATGTAGAACCAACAGCAATAGGACGGATACCGTTATCCTTTTTTTTTTGAAGGCACACAATCTTGCCCCATATAAGTAGGGAATGAAATTGGGATTGACATTACCAGAAAGCATAAAATTACATAATTTTGTTATGTCATTAAGAAGAACCCTAGGCGTCACCGGCAGATACGCTTACAAGGTCTTTGAGATGCTGAGGCGTAATCCCGTCAATGCCGCCGGCAGAGCCATTCGAAAATAACAATATTGCGAAACTTGTAATGGTTGCATAATTGGGAGGCAGAGGTAAATTCTGCGAAGGATTGACTGAAGAATGTTTCTGACGAAGGCCTTCAAGAGTTTCGACATTACGAGGAGCGAGGATGTCATCTGAGAATAAAATACGGGATGCATTTTTTAAGTCGCCGTCTATTACTTTTGATTCAACTACTTTTTTTAAATCAAATTTAGGGTAAGGTTGAGAGAAATGAGTATTAATCGGATAATTCAAATTTTGAAAAGAATTTTCTTTTAGTTGAGACGTAATTGATTTATTTTTTTTTACTAAAATGAAAGTGGGAATACGCGAATGTAAATAATTTTTGCCAACTTTTTTCACAATTCGTTAGACAATTTTGAATAGTTAATGATAATGCTTTAGCAAGTTGCATCCTCGCGCCTCTGGGAATTCTTTTAACCACTGGTACGTTACTATACAAATTTTATAATTGTTTCGAAAAAAATGAAGAATTTGTGTCATTAGGTATATTATCAGAAGAGTCATGAATTTCTACGGTAGGCTGTGAAGCCGAAATATTTTTACTATGGCATCGTTTAATGTGTATATTTAATCCCGTTTTACCTTTAAATTGACGATTTAAATTTTTAGTTTTAGATTTTCTATATTTATTTATGTTGTATATAATTAGTTTTAATGTTAATAATATTATAATTTTAATTATAATTGTATAAAAATATTTGATGTATATAATAATATATATAATAATTATATGTATATATATATATATATATATATATACAAGAATTGCTCGTTTAAAGGTATAGGATTTTACGCTGGTATTCCGTGTATTCCGTAAGAGCGTGGTTCTTCCCCTGTCAAGCCTAATACTACTAATATAACTGCATGGCTCCACCACGTATAAAAACCATTGATTTAACCCCAAAACCTCAATGGAACAACTTTTGTATAATTTTTTTGGAGTTTTGGCGGGAACTTGACCGCTGTTAAATTGCTGGTTCTATACCTATTATTGTTTGTAAAGTGACTTGAAGTGGGTTTAGACAAGTAAAAGTTGCAGTTTTGTGTATTAAATGCCAATGCACGTGAACTATTAGTGGAACCAGTGAAACAAGTGCTCCGATGGTGATGTCAAGCTCAAGTTATTTATTTCTTCTGCTTTGACGCCTTGAAATACCTACTGTCGTCAACGACTACCTATCTGCATATTCGGACACCCGACAGCATTGAGTTATTAAATCAATGCCCGACAGTCTCCCAAAATTTCGGAATGCAAACACATCAACATATTGTAAAGAAATTTTGAAATTTAAAAGGATATTACTTAATTTTTTACTAGGTTCTAACTACATACTTTTTTATTACTTGACACTAGCAAAAAAAAAAAAAGAAATCACAAGAGAAATAAAAAGTACCGTTTTTATAAATAAATGTTAAACCCAAATAAATTCATTACGAGTATAAATCAATTAATTAGACTTTGAATAACATAAAAATGTACACCTAGGTATGCATAGAAACTTCGACCGCTAGTGCTCTCGAAGCGGCGGTACTTCCGCACACTCTGTATACCTACCTATATGAACGTGCTGATCGCTTTTAATTCTCGATACGTGCAGACATTCAGTTATACATTATTAATTACACCGTCCCGCGCCTCCACACGCTCCTCGCCACCCCCGGGGTGGCCACCACCCCCGCGCGGCTCATGGCCCCGTGTCGCCTTTCATTGTAATTTAAATCGAATTCCCGACGACAAGTAAATTGAAATATTTCAATTCGCCACCCCCCCCCCTCCGCGTCCCCTGCACCCCTCGCGACGTTCGAATCAATTTGAGTTTCATTGATGGTGATATTATTATTTCGAGATCCGTGAAACATTTGCGACAGGGCTGCCGGGATCCGATGCAGCTCCGCGTCCAGTACCAACTTTTTGTAGAACAAGACACACAGACAAACGAGCACGCAGTCCACCTGATGGTAAGTGAGAATTGTGGCCCATAGATATCTACCTACATCTGTCCTCGATTAGGCATCAAAATGTATCTATTCATTAAAATCAAAATGAGGATTGCAATGATTTTGATGTCAGTTTGCTGCTTAAGGAGAACATATTACCTACGCGCTTAGTGCGCTAGGGTCATATGTTTGGACACTCGAATTTTTAATGTCAGCGATCTAAAAACTAGATTAGAAAGCAAATTTAACATTCTACATATAAAAGTCCACAGTAGGAACGTGCTTATTTTATGGATGAAGCATATTGTTCTAGCTAAAACTAATAGGTAACCTAACTAAGATGTAAGTGCTCGTTAGTTTGAGCTCAAGATCCTTTTTAATTCAATATGCTTAATAAAACACAAATAAAAGTATAAGAAAGGCATTAATTAATATCCATTTTGGTAGGCAGATAATCTTTCAAATTTCTTTTTCAATTTCTAATCAATTTTTTTTTTTCGGATAATGGTGACAAACTCTCTACACTTACCTACCATACGAAGCGAAAGCGTTAAGCTAACATTTTACGCTGGTATGCTGTAGAGCGTGATCTTTCCCCGGTCGAGCCGACCCATTCGTGCTATAACTATACCAGTAATATAGGTAGCTGTAGCGTGGCGCTACCACGTACAATATCATTTAGGACAACATGTTCAACTTCGGACTTTGAATATTGCCAACGATAATCGTGTCGGCTAGTCTTAGAAATAATATTTTTCAATTCACCACTTAAACGTACAAATCACGGTAAATATTTTAGTCGACCTATTTCCTACCACTTTTAGAATGATTGCAAGTTTAGTGGAAATTCAATAAAAAAAATTAAAGAATTAAATGATACAAATTGTATTTTGACCGCAGTAATAAGCATAATATATCAATGATTTTGACTCTACCCTGTCTATTAAGATTGTAATAAACAAAAAGTTTCACTTTTTAAGTATCTATAAGTAATCAGTATTCATTACCTAGTAGTTTAAAATGCAATTACAGATTTTGTACATAATTTGTGGATATGCTAATATTTATAAGCCTGTTTATAATTAATCAGTGTTATGTTAATTGCTAAGGTATAGATTTTGATGGACATTTGTGTTTATTTCGCAGCGCGCTATCTGATACTGAATGTATTGTAGTCGCGAACCTCGGCAGACATTAATGAATGTGTTCTATTGTAAGTAAAATGTTCCCACCGACATCGTTATGTACTCACAAAACCATATCAGTAAAACTAAATGGAGCTATCAACGCAAGTTTGCTCACGTCACGATGCATCTCACTTTATGTGAGCAGTGACTATCGCAACCATCTATTAAATGCCAAATAAACTCCCTGAACATATTGACCATTAAAAACGTACAGTCTAAACCGTTCAACAAAAACCAACAATGAAGTATAAAAGAGATTCCTAACAAACATAATTGTGTTTTTTATGCTTTATTCAATAGCGCTTTGTAATACAAAAACTCGTTCTTGAAAAAGTCACCTTTATAAATTTAGTTTGAGCGCCAATGGTGGCCTAGAGGCGGGAAGCGCGTGCCTCCCATTGGTCCTCTCCAGTCCTCATCTGACTACATTTTATATAACCGGATGATACAAATACAGTTAAGACTACAGAAGGAAAAGGACAGCACTAGTTCATGTATACAGTGTTTCGTTTCTCGCTCCGTCTCGCTCGCACGCCCACATCTGTCAGTGTTGGCAATGAAGCAACAGTGTTGGCAACAACGCGGAGCGGAGCGGTGTTAACTGTTGCGTTCTATTTTCAAACATCCCGGTCCGATTTTAATTTTCGTGTTATATGTTCAGATGTACTGTCAGTTTGGTTTATAAGTTATAGAACGTTCTAACATAGAGACAGTGAAACGTTTGAATAATATCTTGAATATTTTGAGTGTTGCAATGTTATTAAAATGCGCATAGTTTTCGGGTGTGTTTGACTAAATAAATAGTTTGCCCAATTAATAAATTTATTAAAATTAGTTTGTATAATGGAGATGTCTCTACCGAATGGTGTAGACGTATCGCAGTTGGTGCAGCACCCAGTGCTCGCCGCGCTGCCGCCCTTCTTCTTGAGAGCTTCTGAACGATATCAGGTTCGCAATTTGTTATTTCTACAGCAGCAAAATAATAGTAGTAAGTTAGTGTTACAGCCTATTAAAGTTCACTGCTAATCATCCTATGGGCAACTTGCATCAGTTCACACATTGCAGCTTGTCAGAAATCAAAACAGATTTCTGACAAGCTACAATGTGTGAACTGATGATTTTACCAACATAATAATTATGAACTGCTGTTATGTCAGTAGATATAAAATAAGTGACTATTATAATATGTGAATACAATTTTTTTATTCAATTGAGGCTTCTTTAAAGTTCTTATGAACTTCAACATCTGCAGTGGTCTACAAAAACAAGACCATCTCAACGAAGGAGCACTAGCAAAAGCTTGTGTTGCTTTTTTTTATAATGTTTTGCTAGAATTTCAATTACATCGTATAATTGTTTATATATATTTTTAAAAACAATAAATGAGTGCTGTATGCTTGTCAAATGTATAGGTATCTATTTTTTTTTACTTAAATGTCATTTTTAACAATAGTTCTACGTCAGTGGCCAGTGAATTCGCAACTTCAGGGTAAGAGTTTTTTTTCACACATTATTGGCCACAATATATTGATATATTTTACAGTTGGCATTTTACATTTTTGTTTTAAATTTTTTGTGTAATTTCATAACATACCTACTCTAAGAGATTTTTACCGATTTCAGAAAAAATAATAGAATCAGACGTTACTTTGCGGAAATCTATTATATTAAAAATGTAAAAAATTAATTCACTTAGATCCGCATAATAAAATAAAACGGTGTGTCTTACCTAGTTGAGAGAGCACCTACCGCTAAGAGATTAGTCACTTTTTGCACTTTGCGTTTAACGATCGCAGAGTCACCTGAGATTGCCTCCTGAAACACATGTCGTATTATCGACGGTGACGCGTCTTTCCTGATGTAGTGGTGACGGGAGTAGTTAACGCGATTCAGAAGGACAGGAGATGCTATTCAAACTATATAAGACACATCATTTTATTGTATTACGCGCATCTTAACGAATTTTAACATCTTTAACCAGAAAACATTTTTTAGTTTTAGCCAATCTTAATTAAGGTACCTGCAGCATATCATTTAAACTCTTGTAACATAATTTAATAGATACAAATAAAAAAACAAAGTACTTTATATGTATCACTGTTGGATAGGCTGCTATTTTGTTTGTTCATTTTTTTACACACTATCCGCCCTGGCTTCACGCGGGGTATTTTCGGATCTCGACAACAGCGCCACCTACCGGGTCCAACCGAGTTTTCAAACCAACCAGGGGCTCATTGAAATACAAACAAAAATGCCTCAAAATCGGTCCAGCTATTTTAGAGTTTTTGCGAAACTAACAGACAGTATCTAATTGCTTTTTAGATATCTTAACTATTATAACTAAATGCTTTCAGTGTGTCAACTGGTAGCGTCACTAGGCTATTGTGGCTAACGTAAACTTGTTTAATAGATATTTTTCTCATATTTCTGAGAGACTCTATTTTAGTGGACTTTACATACTAATATAGGTAGAGTTTGCCGAATCGCTGTAAGTATTGCAAATTAGCGTGTTGCTCATAAATACATATTATGATAAAATTAATTATTATGATGTGTATTTTAATACAGCGTGAATGTTTTAATTACATTTTAAAATATTTCCGATCAACCGCCATTTTTACTTTTAATTACGTCCACAAATCCGACGGCGCGTACCTACTTGTTAAATGAACTGTAAGTTGTAGTGGGATATCCATCCGCTATTTCTGGACGTAGTGCTAATACTTTGCTCTGTTCCATGTAATGTGCAGTTGTCATTGAGAGTAAGTATTGGAGTGGAAAGTGGAAGATTCTATTTTTTTAAATACTATCTTTTCCTTCACGTGCGTTATTGATGGCCGGGCGACGGTGACTAACGTGTGCCGGAAAATTTGTTCAACAAACCGAATTACAGAGACTGGTGACGGCGAATGGTACATGGACCAGTGCCGTAGTATCACTAACCTGTCCAGCATGCTGAGTTTAGAAATATATACTATTTTTACATAGCTATGCATTATTTATTTATATATTATATGGACGACGTAACAGATAGCAATCAAATTATATTAAAAGCACTTATATAGGAGTTCATTACCAAATTGTAATTCTAGATAGATTGACACATCGCTTTTATATTTACTACACAAGAGACCAACTTTTCGCTATAAAATACTTATAACATACTTCACATAAACATATACTTACTGATACTGTTTTACTGCACTTTTGAATATCCTGGATTTTAGGTCAAAAATATTCTTGTTATCGGGTTAAACAAGAAGTATTATTCTTATAACTCCGCAGGTAAAATATCTTGCTAGAAATTCGGAGATTGTGCTTTGTAGTCAAATTTAGGGAACTCTATGTAAATATATAAGGCGGTAGAGCCGTCATAGCGCTCGCTCTAAAGTTTACAGTACCTACGCGAGCAAACAGGGTTCGATCTCCGCCGGCACCAATGAAATTGTTATTTGCTATTTTTAGTGCTGGTTACCACGTGCTCGGCGGTGAAGGAACATATCGTGAGGAATGCTGCAAGTCCGAGAAATAAGGAAAAAATATTTCGAAGACATTTGATTAACTTTAAGGTGACATTCCTTATGATGAATAACTCGACTCTCCCTCCTCGACTCCCTCGCTATAACTAACGAGGTTGCGAGGCAAACCACATTTTTTGTAGCCAAGTATTCTAAGCGCTCTTTTCTGCAGTACGCTGCTATTCCACACTTCTACGCTGTGCAAGGTTACGGAGCCGTTATTTTAACATTCATTAACAATAAAGTAATTATTTTATAATATAATAAAGTAATCTATACTAATAGTAAAGTTAAGTAAAGTTTTTTGTTAGTAAATACGTAAATCTCTGAAACTACCAGTCCGATCAGATGAATTTTTTTAGTACATGATGGCAAGATTTACGAGGAATAGTATAGGCTACCTAGCATTAGACTACAACTCTCAGCTAGCCCTAATTATTGATTTTCGTTAAGCAAGTCGGAGGAAAAAGCGCTCTCGAAATTATTTATCCGTGCGCTGGAGTAATGGTTAGTGATACGTAAATACTATGTGTTACAAAAATATCTCTAATAGCTCTTCCCTCTATCTACAAAAACGTCCGCGATACCTTGGGCCTATTTTGTATACATAAGCTGCAATATTTTTGACAAAAAGTTATTGAAAATTAAAAAGTGATTCATGAGCGTTATTATTATTAGACATGGCGTATTAATCCTTACGAACGAAAGTTACTTAATCATCAAGACAATTTCATGCTTGCTTTGCTATTTATGGTATGTTATTTGGGCGCAAAGTTTAAAAAATCCACAGATCTAGGTATATTTGACGGTTTCTCTGAATTTATGAACGTAATTAATTTTCAATTTATACAAATTTAATAATTTTATTGCGTTAGCAACGGCCGAGTTTTATTAATTTCAGTTGTAATGAAGAATATGCAGCTGCCATCTTTTAATTTAGTTCGCTCTGCTGCCTCTCACGACGCCCGCGGGATGATATGGGGCAACGGATGTTCTTACACCGCCACCACACGGTTCGAGTTGAGAACTTACATGCTCGCTAATGTCCAACTTATCTATTTATGTAACATAGAGACAGAGAACTCTTAACCGTACACACGAAACAAAGACAATCGATTAAATTCTTCTCCTATGAATTTGTCGCTCTGTTGAACCGGCCACTTTGAACTGTAATAACTATGGTTCGACTTGTAATTCTAAATTCAAATAAATTTTATATTTCAGGCACGTTCTTTATTTAAATTCATCCATTTGTTTTTTTTCTGCAATATCGCTATATTTATGATCGGGCTGTAAGAAGAGATGTTGCATCTCTTTGCGTATTTTATCGCATCTATCACGGGGAGTGCTCTGAGGAATTGTTCGGATTAATCCCAGCCGCCAAATTTCGTGAACGCACTACACGGCAAACGTCCCGATACCATCCACACCATCTGGATGCTTGGCGGTCCACCACTGTACGTTTCAAAAGGAGTTTTCTTCCGCGTACAACCTCTCTGTGGAATAATTTACCACCGGTGATTTTTCCGGACCGATACGACCTGGGGACCTTCAAGAAAAGAGCTTACTCCTTTCTAAAGGGCCGGCAACGCACCTGCAATTCCCCTGGTGTTGCGGTTGATCATGGGCGGCGGTAGTCACTTAACATCAGGTGAGCCACATGCTCGTTTGCCCCCCTCTTCTATAAAAAAAAAAAAAAAAAAAAAAAAAAAAAAAGAAACGAACTTTCATCTTAGGTACCTATGTTTATACTTTCTTAGAATTCCCTAACTGTAAGAAAACTCGTTTTGTTTTTGATTATGAGGTCCAATGTAGACACCATCACTTTGTAGGTGGTGGGACTCCCTTCGTGCACAGTCGTTTGTCCGGGGGAGGGGTACCAGCTGACCTATCTCCGCCACCACACAGCAACCAGCACTCCCGTGCTCCGGCCTGAAGGGCATAGAGAGCCGGTATACTTACAGGCTGAGAGGCTTTCCATGTATTACCTAATATACCAATATTCAGAGATGACGACGCATTGTAGCCTTATTCGTTTACCATCACGTAGTTACAACCTAGTTTAACGAGCACCCCCGCCCTGACAAAACAATAAAACAAAATAAAATAAATAAATAAACAACCCCGATTTGCGTAGACTATATCCGTTACCACTCCCCGAACACCACTAAGCTAGGAAAGGCGCACCACCGACGATAATACGACACGTGTTTCGCCTCTACACGAGGCGTCAACAGGAGAGGTCAACTCAGTAGTATATGACCACTTAGTGATATTAACAGCTTATTACGCGGGATCTTTACCAATTGTTTTTAAAATATTTAACGTAGAACCACGTAGCAAGGTCACGCTGCAAGTTATATTTTAGTTGTAGAACGAATGGGTCGGTTCGTCGGGGAAGGATCACGCTTTCACAGAATATCTATCTTTCGTATGGTGAGTTTAGAGAACTTAGTCCTCAGGGGTGACAAGGCAAGGCACGCTGCGGGCTGTTCGAAAGAGATACGGCGGCTCCGGAACGTAAGGGCACTGAAGGAACACGGATGGTTTTTAGTCAGTAAAAGTCTGACACTCCCTTACGCTCCACCCAGAGCGAAAGGCGTCATTAGATGATTTTCCATCCGCAAAAAAAAAAGGGGGTGACAAGGCATCTGTATTTTGATTCTTAATCTAGGATAGATGTAGATGTCCATGGACCACATCATCCATTTAACATTAGGAGAATTGCATACTCATTTGTTACCCGTATTCTATAAAATGCCCTTCGTTTAGCAGATGCTCATTTGACTCTACCACTCGTGAATACGCCTAACAACATTTTATTATTCCTTAATATTATAACTTAATTATATCATTCAATGTCGAACAGCTCATGTTACGGGTACACTGCACTGAGTGTTATCGAAGGGAACTCACACCGCGTCATTACACTACGTTACACTTCACTGTTGCAAGATGTAATTAGCACGATGTGTGTAGTTACAGTTTGCAAGGCGAAGTGTCGATTACGGAAGGGGCGGGGACACGATATTACAAGTTACAATAGTACGTGCAACCAAATGTTACACGGTACCGGCTTTCGTTCACATTGTAGTATTATGTTGATGTTTAATATATTATTATTATAATTGTTTTCTATTTTTTGCGTTCCCAACCGTGAGGATTAAGATGGAATGCCTCGTTTTCAGTAGAAAGGGTCTTTGGTTTTCTACACTCATCATACTAAACACAACAACATTAAGCTGCTATTTTAAGCTGGAATTCAGTGAAAGAGTGGTCGTGCTCAGGTCCGGCAAACATAATATGTATAAAAACAATACCGATTGCTGTCTTTGACACTGTAAGAGAGAAGTAAGAAAGAAAGAAAACATTCTGCAGCTACGAGCACCACAGATAGCAAAAAAGTTACGATTAAAACAAAATGAAAAATACAAAGATCAAAACATAGATTTATTGCATAACATATATATTGCTTTATATATAAGTGAAAGTACACATCGTGGTGCGGGTAGTTTTGTATTCTGCGATAGGTACTTCAATATCTCCTATACGGTCGACAGTTTTCGTGCGCGTAGGTCACTCAATAAGTTTTGAGATGCTCGGAATTTAAAAATGGAACGCTTCCGTGTTTTATGTTTCTAAAAAGCAAATTTATTTAAAGATATAACTCCATAGACCAATTTCTCAATATTAAAAGAAAACGAAATTCTATTAATTTTCCTGTAACGCTTCTCGCGCTTTTCATTTAAAACGATGGATCTTAACCGTGAACATTTGCGCGCTGTGATCTATTATGATTTTAAATTTAGTTTAAATGAACAATTAAGTTTACAACGATTACAATAAGCATTAGAAGATTCAGCTCCATCACGCGCAACAATTTTTAGCTTGTTTGCTGAATTCAAAAGAGGTAAAATTAACCTTAAAGATGACCAAAGAACGGCAGAAAATGTATGGATTACTAAAATGTTGGTGCGAGAAGACCCACGAATCACGGACATCGAAAAGATTGTATTCATTAGTTCGAGGAACCGAGGAGTTCATACCATCCTACATCAACATCTTAGAGTAAGGAAGCCTCGTTTGCTCTCCGAAAGCGAAAAACAGACTCGTGTGGATTGGTGCCATAAAATGCGTCTACGTTTTGAAAACGGGGCATCTAGGCGTGTTTCAGAAATCGATACTGTTGACGAAACATGGATCTATCAATATGATCCGGAAAATAAAAGGCAATCTATCCGGATAATAAATGAGTAGACCCATACCGATGTATGGGTCTACTCATTTATTATCCGGATATACCATAAAACTGCAAAGACCTCGCAACGTCGGCAAAAAATAGTGGCTATTTTTTAGGGAAGCGGACATTTATCGATATTAATGCTGGAAAATTGTAGGTCAGTCAACTCTGAATGGTATACTACAGTTGCATTACCCAAAGCTTTTCAAGCTGTGTGGGAGAGAAGACCAAAGACCGGGCTTCGGGGAATCATGCTGCATCACGATAACGCCTCTTCACATACCTCCTTTAGAACAAAAGCATTTATTGAGAAATCTGGTGTCGAAACTCTAAGTCACCCACCCTACAGCCCTGACTTAGCTCCTTGTGATTTCTTTTTGTTCCCAAGAGTCAAAGAAAAAATAAAAAGCAAGTTTTTTTCAAGCGCCGAAGAAGCCGTGGCTGCCTACGAAGAAGCGATTTCCGACCTGTCGGATCAAGACTGGCAAAAGTGTTTTCAGAGTTTGTTTAGGCGAATGGAACTTTGTATAGAGCATGATGCAGAATATTTTGAAAAGATGTAAAATAAATATTAATAATATCTAGTACCTATACTTTTTGTATATCTCAAAACTTATTGATTGTCGTACGTATAAATGGTCGCCGCGCACCAACTCGGCCAAAAAGACATCTTGACTATCGTTACTATTAAATTCTTTATTTTAGCAGTAGACTTGTACTGTAGTTAGTTACTTTTTGCAGTGTCCAGTATTAAGGAATTATCTTTTGTAATAATTTGTTTAAAATTTCTTTACAATATGTTTCTTCATATTATGAATTATACGAAGGTTTGGACGGTAGCTTTACCACCAGACAGTTGATGACGATAGCATCTCAAGGCGCCTACGCAGATACAGTATGTTGAGGTTCACATCACAATTGGAGCACTTTTTCCAAATAAAAGTAAATGCGCAGATATTTAATACATAATATCGCACCACCTTTCAACCGACTTCAAAAAAGGGGGAGGTTCTCAATTCGAATGAATTTTTTATGTGTGTTACCTCAGAACTTTTTGCTAGGTGGACCGATATTGATGATTCTTTTTAAATTTTAAATCTGGTACTTCTCATGTGGTTCCATATAAATTTGTTCAATATATGAGCAGTAGTTTTTGAGTTATCTTTAATGATTCGTGTTTAATTGATCTTGACTATCTTACATTAATGATGTTGTCATTTCGTTTTTACCACTTTTACATAATTTTTAAATTTTACCACTTGTACCGAAATCTACTTCGGACTTATTAAAACAATGATACAGGACTTATAATCCGGTGCTGGTTAAGTTCACACTACATGACCTCATAATTAACTTGTGGCTACAGTATTTCTGTGATCAATATAGCGTGACAAACGAGCAAACGGTATTTGTGATGGTAGTTGGCTACTGTAGTCCCTGGAACTTACGTACCTTCCACCAAGTGATAAGTACACAGGATGGTTTGTTTTATGTGAGGCGTGAATATGACCTCATAGGGTTAAGTTATTCAGAACATACACGAGCACTACGAGGACTGACATTGCGTTTGTCTCTCTAATGTTAAAACACAACATAATATTACATGAACTTTCATGCCTGTCACCCAGAAATGTAGGCAGATACTATAACTTACTCGTATTTGGCGCGCTACTGACGTAATAATAGGTACATCATCTGACCCCTCTTGCCTCCTTCACATCCATATTTTATCTACTATTACATGGTTGCCGATTAAGGGTACTCTTAATTTGGTCCATCTTCCATACATTTATTTATCGAATCATCCTAATGCAATAATAATAACGTATTAGCCATTACTCTGAACAAAAGGTCGCTAATTATAGGTAATGTCGACAAGTACAAAAACAGATACCCCTTATAATTATAAAATAAGGGTGACATACAAGATAATAATCCATTTGATGATAAGTGTATGCTAGGGCCCATAGACATCCGCATATACCCTCGATTAAAAATCAAAATGCAGATACGTTGTCACCCCTGAGGACTAAGGTTGAATGCCTCGTTTTCAGAAAATGGTCCCCAATATTCTACAATTATCATAGGAAACACAGCAGCATTAAGCTGATAGCGTCCTTGAAGTGATCCGTGATAACGCATCTGCTTTTTGATTCTTAACTGAGGATACATGTACATGTCTATAAGCCGAAGCATATACTTACCATCAGTACTGTGTGCTCGTTTGTCACCCTATGTCCATTAAAGTCCGGCAGTAGACTTTGGCTGATACGATTGTTATTCTAATGGTATTAATAAAAAATACTTCTTCTTGTTGCAGAGGACACCGAAATGCGCTAGGTGTCGCAACCACGGCGTGGTCTCGGCGCTGAAGGGTCACAAGCGATACTGCCGCTGGAGAGATTGCGTCTGTGCCAAGTGCACCCTCATCGCAGAGAGACAGCGCGTCATGGCCGCACAGGTATACTAGCATTGAATTATCTTCTGCTCACATATACGTAGCAGAGCCACATTGCAGCTATATTGCGGATTAGAGCACGCGTCGGCACGAACAGGGAAGAAACTTTACAGAAAACCAACGTGAAATGGCATTAAAATATCTGTTAAATAACCTAACTTCGCTTACATTTATACGTGGTAGAGCCACGCTGCAGTTATATTACAGTTGTATTGGTCAGCTGGACCGGATATTAAGGGCACGCTCTCACAGAGTAACAACATTAAATAGCAGCTTCATGCTGAATGTGAATGTAGAGCACTAGACCCTTTTTAAAGGGGCATTCCATCTTAGTCCTCAGGGGTGGCAGTGGGGTCCAGAGCAGCCATTTAATTTTTTCAATACTTAGCTTTACGCATTACGAATGATGAAGCAAATCTTTTAGTTCGTATGAGTACTAATTGGACAGCATATACGTGGAGATCTACTGATTTTCTGTTTGTCTGTCAAGTTATGCTATTTCTACACACACACACACAACACACACACACACACACACACACACACACACATACACACGCACTTTTTTATTATTCAGAGTAGTTATGAGGAAGCTATTACTACCGATTCCCTGTTTCAATTCTCTCTTCCGCCTCTTACGACGACCTGAGATGATACGGAGCAAAGGATTCTTCTGCGTCGCCACTACACGCCGCGCCGACCAAATTAAATACGTGCAAATAATTTTGTGGCTTTTTAATATTTTTAGTATTTGACAAAAGTCAACATGAATGAACAATATTTGGATAAATTGAATTGCGTATTGATGCGAGTAAACTTAAAAATCTTAGTGCAAGAGTTTAAAGACAGTCCATCTTAATTTTTAATATAGAATAGATATACGTGTCTATAGGCCACAGCATTTACAGTCACTGGACTGTGTGCTTGTGTCACCTCTGCATCTTGTCATCAGCCTGGGCAAGTCCATTAGTGGTCCTGAGCATCTCGAATTGTACGAAGGTTTTGAGTCAGCCACTGTTGGCAGGCGATTGAGCCAACCTGTTCATGCAACAACCACAATATAGCTGCAGCTGCAGTTCCACCACGTAAACGTCTTCTACTTTAATAAAAAATTTTTTGGTGATACATCACTAAACATTTAAAATTTTATAACAGTTTATCATGATGTAGGTCGCGCTGAGGAGGCAGCAAGCTCAAGAAGAGAACGAGGCTCGGGAACTGAACTTGCTGTACGGCGGCCAGCCGTCGGCGGTGCCACATCACTATCCTGACCTGCCTGATGATGCACCAGGTTGGTTTACTGTGTTTTTGCAGCTATTCGTTCATGTATTATCATCGATGCTCTTTTCTTTTAAAAAGTTGTCTAGGTGCAATCTCTATTTATAATAAGACATCCATCTTGACACTCAATTTTTTTTCTTCTTTCGTTGGCTTTTGCTTTTTGCATAAAAAGTTATCTATGTTTTAACCGTGTAGTGTCGGTGTAAGAATATCCAGTGCAGTGGTTGATACAGGCTACTCGAGTGCTTGTGTTAGGATCAACGGGGCCTACTCGGACAACGTGTCGGACAGGGCTGTGTTGCTTCCCCGTGGCCGTTCAACTTGTTTATGGACAGTTGTTTGGAAAATTTGAAAGTTGAAATAATGCGGGTTAAGAATGGGTAAATTAGCCGTCAAATACCTTTTGTACGCCCATGATCAAGTAATATATGCGTCCATGGCGGCCGAGTTGCAAATGATGGTTACATTAATTATTAGGTCATTAAAAAAAGGGCAATAAAAGTGAATGCAAGTAAGATGAAGGTTATGGTTTTTGAAAGAGAAGAAAGTAAAACGATATGTGATATAAGAGTAGAAGGGGAGATGGTCGAACAAGTAGATGAGCTTGTATATTTTTGGATGTGTATTCAGCACTGATGGAAGATATGATAAGGATATAGTACGACGAATGAACGCAGGAAATGAAGTAAATGGGGCTCTACACTCTATTGTGAAATGTCATAATGTGTCGAAAAAGGCACATATGGTAATTCACAATGCTGTATTAGTCCCTACTTTAACGTATGGTAGTGAAAGTTAGGTGTGGCAGAAGAAGCACGAAAGTAAGATAAATGTAGTAGAAATGCGGTCGCTAAGGAGTATGTTAGGGCTGAATCTGAATGACAGGGTGAGAAATTGTGTGATAAGAGAAGAGTGTGCCTTGCAAGATGATGTTGTGACCAAGATTAAGAAAGGAATGCCTCCATAGTTTGGTCATGAGGAAAGAATATCAAAGAAAATTTATGTTCCAGAAGTGAAGGGCAGAGTCGGAAAGGGACGTCCTAGGTGAAAATTTATCGACCAAATTAGCGATTTATTGAAAACGGGCAAAATTAAGAGTACCCTTAACCGACGAGCATGTATGCGTAGAAATATGAATGTGGAGGAAGCGAGAGAGGTATGTCAGGATCGTGCTAAATGGAAGTCTGTAGTCTCTGCCTACCCGTCTGGGTGACAGGCGTGAGTGTATTTATGTATTTAGTATCTTCTCAGCGTTTTGATACAAATTATAGCGCTTTGACACGATTTATGATTTTAAGGTGAAATGAGCGTCAAATACAGATTTTTCAAGTTTTATAGGTGCGCAGATAATCTTTTTTTGTCATTAAAAACTACGAATTCACCTTTTTTTAAATCATTATGAAATTTAAAGAGTTTCCTTAGTGAATAATGATGGCAAAAACACGATTAACATATTTCAGCTTGATACAAAAAGATCGCAAAGATTCCTCAAAATCTATAATTTTAGGTACGTCCATTAAGGGAAAAAGCAGTTTCATTCGAATGTAAGTAAAGCAATTTCAAATAAATTCTGTCTATGTGTTTACCATTGAATGAGAATTATGGCTTTTTTTTCAATAAAGGAGTATATTTCATTTTAAAAAGAAATATTAAATAAACATCGTGCAATAAAAATGCGCGCGGGCCGACCAAACAGAAGCATATCGTCGCTCCTCACTCGTGACCACCATACTATTTTACCTTAATAAAGGGGCAAGTAGTAATAAAAAGGAGGCCATTTTTCCAAATGATTTGATGCAACCGTATCGTCGTTGGTCAAGCCGTGGTCCAGTTAAGATGTTCCTAAAGACTAAGGTGGCAGACCACATGTAACAATAATCGTAAGTATATTTAATCACGCGTAGCGGCAGCACTTCTTTACTGCCAATGCCAAGGAGTGCGTTCAAGCGGCACCTCTATCTGACCTATTTAGTAACGCGTGCGTTGCAGTGTTCCGCTATGAAAGGTATATAGTCAGTATGATCACGCGCAGTGCACCGTATCTTACTCCTCAGAGGGATGCAGGTGACCATATGTTATTTATTTGTTTAAGAGTGAGAAACACCCGCGATGTTTGTAAAACAATTGTCTTTAGTGCTAGTTACAAACGCAGTGCCAATTTTTTACAGAATAAAGGTGACTATCGAGCACACAGTCCACATGATGTAAGTGGATGCTGTGGTCTATAAACATCTGCATTCCTCATAATCAGCCTCGATTAAGAATCAAAATACAGATGCGTTGTTAGCTTTGATAATTAACATTAAAAAGCCTGGTTTCTAGTAAAAAGTGTTTCCGGTTCTCTACACCCATCATACGAAATATAGCAATCAGCTGCTATTTCACGCTAGTATTCTGTGAGAGCGTATTTTTTCCTCGGGCGAGGCAATTCCTTCGTGCTACAACCATAATATTTGTAGTTGTAACTTAAATCTACGACGTATTCATCATGTAATCTACGGCAGTGTAGCGTATAGCAGTCTAACCTATTCCGTATCCTCGGGATACTGATGAGGCTGACTATACTCTAGACTCTCTGTAGACTCTACGTAAAACTCTTTCTCATGGTCAAAGATCTATAGCCCGCTTTGTTTGAAATTGCTTGCAGGTGTTTTTAAATGCCAATTTCTTATAATATTTTTTTTAGTTTTTTTTGGTGTCTTATTTAGATTTTTCGATTAAACGCGTACCCCATCGTGAATTTCAAGTTGCCCATTAATGCAAACAAAGGTTTGCGGAGAAAAGAACGCACCGAGGAGACCAATTACGCGGCTCAAAAGTGCAGTGTTGCCACTTGTGACGGCTCCAGCTACTCCAATACTCCAATAGTGATGGCAGGCGTTTTATATAGCTCTGCTATTATTATGTTCATTTGAATCGAAGTGAATTTCTGCTATAATGCTATAATTACACACAAGGTAATTAAATTGTTGGTCCTATTTATTTTTGGCGATATTAAGCTTACGATATATATTTTAATGCCTAAGAGAATTTACAAGATGTCTTAGGTATTTTTTTTACGTTCCAAGGCTTTCGATTGTGTTCATCATGAAATATCAGGAAACTATAACATTACTTTGTCAAAACTATTTTCAAAAAGCTTTTATCAATGGTCATAAACGTATCTCTGATTGCTAAGCGTTCCTCAGAGCTCGATTCTTGGCAGATTCCTGTTCTTGATCTATATTGATGACTTACCTCATCTTGTAGGAGACAATCACGATATAGTATTATTTGTTGATGATACTTCTTTAATTTTCATTTGCAAGTTGTGTTTTATTCATATCCAAGAGTACTGATAAACTTCCATATATCAGCTGAAGATGCACTTGTTCATGGATGTAACGAGGTTTAGCAGCTCTCACCGTCTGATTGCATCGATTTCTCGCAACTTTTTGTGCATTCTATTTTTCGACTGTGCGCTTCCTCTTATAGACACGGAACGCTCTATCGCGCTTTACTATGGCCATTCCTACCCTACCCTGCTGTTATCTATGGAACTGGAGGGTGACTAAGTCTAACAACACGCTTGGGAGCATGTTTAAAAAAAGTTTTGTTATATTGTCGTCCAGGATATTGTCTTTATAATGAACTGTAGACGCAGCAAACACAGAAAACCAGTCAGTTTAATCAGCATCACGCTTTAACTTTTCAACATCCAGCCTATCAAAACTACGAATATAGGTAGACAGACATTGATTTAGGCTTGTGATACTTTAATTTGTTTGAAGAAAAAGCAAAACATGCCATGAAAAACCAGAAGATGTAAATTGACCGTAGTCGGACATGCTCAACATAGGATACGGTTACATTATGTTCAGACCATGTGTCCGTCGAGTCAATATTATGATGCGTGTGCATTTAGTGGCAGAACAGTCTGATAATACGACACCGTGGTCGATTTCAAATTGTTTGATTTGTGAGTCGCCATTAAAAGATCGGTGTTAAAGTCTCCCATGATAATGTGATATGAGTAAACAAATTCACTTCCAAATCATGTGGACGTGGACAGTAGATGATTCCAAGGAACACTTTAACACTCTTGAATGAAGGGATGAACTTTCTATACTAGTACATTCATATTAAGTTACATAAACAATTAAAAATAGCTCAGTAAAAATTTAGCAACAGGAACAACACTAGTGATTGGAGTTATTCGTTGGATATCGTAGCTGCGCCCGGCCGGAACAGAGACTAGGCGTCGAGCAAACTTGTTCACTTGCTAATTTGTTCCGATGCCTTTTTATGAATTCTATCCAAAAGCTCGTTTTTTGTTATGAACGGCGCGAAACATTTTTCTAAATTCGAATCTATAAAATGAGATTCTCTATGTTTGTTATGAAATTTTAAAATTGCTATAGCTAAATATTATTTTATTTATTTACCGTTACAACTTATGAACACCCACTGCTGAACACAGGCCTCCCCCACAGATTGTCTGACATGGGGGGCATGGGGCAGTGGGTATTGTTGCACCGCGACTACACGGTACGATGTTTACTTGTTTATTCTTCTTTAGAATCGTCGTGATTTGGAACTCTATGAAACGAACAGGTACATCTACTTATAAGATTTAGCTAGTAAGAGAATGAGATATAATATTGTATTAAATTAGACGTGTTATTTTTGAGGCCATCTAGCGCAGCGTGGCGTTTATTTTACGTACGACTATGAGACTCGACCAATTTTTGTTTGATAAAGTGACTTTACTTATAAAATGAAGTAGATGGAAGTTTACTCGAAAGAAAATATTATTTTATATATTACAGTAAATTTAGAAAATAAAGATCATGAGATTTATGTGCTATACATTTAAACATTTATGTTATATTTGTATTGTGAAATTTATATTTTGTTCATCTTATATTTCATTTTATTTGAAGGTTTCATTTCTACCGCGTGTGAAATGCATTAATTTTTTTATTTAAAATTTTATTGTTTGAACCCATTGATAATACAAAAATTGAACCATAAGGGTCGATCCTCATTATAATGCCGTTCACAGTACGTTCTCGGTCTAATAAAATATTATCAAGTAAAAAATATGTGTGTGCGTTCATACTATCCGGTAGCAGTTAGGTTTCGGTAGAATCCCATTCCATTCCATTGTAATGAATCAGATCGAGAACAAAATGTGAATGGCAAATGAGGATCAAGCCCTAAAACTACAAAGGGTGAACTTAATACCAGTTATACCAGCATGTTGCAGTCAAACCATGGCGAGGTAAATCATTAGTGGCAGGTGCCTTAAATAACCTGAAATAATTAACAAAAATCGATATGATATGTTAAAATTAGGCTTATAAATTAAAGAAAGAAAGAAAAATTACAGAAACGCATATGAATACAAAAAATATAATACATAATAACGCGTGGGTGGATACTAATTTGACATGCCCTTTTGGTCTAGTGGTCGTGAACGCGATTGCTGATCATTGGGTCCCGGGTTCGAGTCCCGGATCGGCCCGAAATTAGTTAGTGGATTTTTCTGTCAAGAGTTAGTTTCTCAGTAACAGCCCAGCGCGATGTCAGGAATTTGGCGGTGTTTCACTCCCGTGCCGCAGAAAGGACGTAAAAGCGTTAATCCTGCGCCTGATCTGTCTCCAATCGTGTCGGTATCCCGTCGGACCCTCAGAGTGAGGGAACAGCGAGGGGACCTGCGCTGCGCTTACACTTGGCCACTATAATTCTGCGTCTCAGTAACAGCTGGTCTCCGTTGAGTCTGACCGCCGTGACCGAAATTCGGTCTGGAGGAAATTATTATATAGACAATCTATCTAATATTAAACTAAAACTGAATGTAACGTTTTGAACGATTAATGTAAAAATGATATTGCTCTAAAAGCATGATTTTAATCTACAATGGTTTCAAATTGAAATTCGTTTGATCTTAAAAGAAGCAGCGAAAAAAAACTGCAGATATCTTTTTTGTTAAACTTTAAGGGGTAATGACAAGACTTTCTTAAAATAATTTCTTAAATTTACGCGAACACTACTCATTGAATAAAACCCCATGACCATGGGTGCTGTAAAGCACCCGAAACGTCAGGAATTAAAAATAAGTTAAACAGTTAATTAAACGCGATAAAATTCGTAAATAGAGTTTTATTCAATACTTTCTTAAATATAAATACAAAGAAATAAGTATAATATAATCCGTTGGGCTATGTCCTTTACTCTGACATAGCCCAACGGATTACAAAGCTGTGCCAACCAAAGTGGCAATAGGCCGGCCATATAGCTTCAAAGACCGACAACTGATTGAAAAGAAAGAGGAAAGGTTCTCAAGTGGCGGCCTCGTACTGGTAGAAGAAGTACAGGGCGTCCCCGCACTAGATGGAATAACCACCTGGTGAGACATGCAGGAAATCGATGGATGCATGTGGCACAGGAACGTGCTTTGTTGCATTCCTTTGGGGAATCCTATGTTCAACAGTGGACTTGAAAAGGGCTGTTATGATGATGAAATATAGTATAATTAAATAACAAAGAAAAAAAAACACGGACTTTTTTTGCTTTAGGCCTTCGGGGGTTCCCATTTAATAATTACGTATATTTTGTTTTTCTCAAGTAACAGTAATTCTAAAATATTGAGAAAATTGGGTTTAATAAAATATGATTAAATCGTACGCAATAACTCCACCATTTTTATATAACTAAGAAAATTATGTTTTTTTAATAAGCACAAATTACTTATATACACTAAAGAACACATTTTGAAAAATCTCACGTGAGATTTGGTGAGGGGTGAGAAGTCGACTGCCCAATACATAGCCATATCTCACGAATTCTCACCAGGGGTAGAGGAGGGTTGAAAAATGGCCAAAATCACCTCATGCAATGGACGCCGCCTTACCAACAACGAAACAAACCTTTGGCTTCGAATGCGCAATATGTCGTCAAAGAAATTTGAACTTGTAAGATGGTGGAAGGGAGAAGAAGGAATGTAACGCTGTTTTTCAAATAAAGCCTATTTACCAATAGATTTTAATACAGAAGTTGTACAGAGGGGGTTGCGAAAAGCAGTGAACGTTGTAGCACCTACAGAATAGCGCCTAAATGTAGAAGTACCACGCCACCTCACAGTCTTTCCAGGTGAGCTCGCAGGGGGTGAGCGAGGATCTTGAGAAGGCATGACGTCCAAAAACTGTACTTGGCAACAAGACGAGTTTGGAACGAATACGACTCGCGCAAGAGGCGACACGATACGATAATAAATAATCTTCATTCAATTAAATACACCTTTATTTGCGAATACAGGTGTTAACAATAATGTTTTATATTATCATTAACAAGCTGTATTAAGTCATATTGCATGCAAAATAATACACATAAAAAAATCATTTAAAAACACAATGTCATATTTACATAATTTAATAATCTTTGGATCAAATGGAAAGTTAAGTATACGCGTTCAGGGTGAGAGGTTGTCTGTCTGTGGGTGCAAACGAATGTTCCCACTTATCTGTATTGAAATTATATTACCTAATAGTTAAATATGTGTAGTTCCTATAGTTGATGATATCGCTGTGTCTATCGCTGCGACAAACAAATAGTACACAAAGGTGAAAAGGTCTAAGAAAAGTCATAATTAGTTGTTTAATATGACAGACCTTGCGACAAATCAACCCTTTTTAAAACACCTTTTTTATTTTTATCTTTTGTGATTTACTTTCTTTTAGTCGGAAGTTTTCAAAGCTTTTATTTAATCCTTTTTCGTTTAAAATCTTTATATCACTCGTAAGTTTTTTTTTTTTCAAAATGTTTAATTTTGCTTTCCATTTATCTAGTCTATCGGTTGCTGCGAAGTTCCAAAAAGAACTTTACCTGCGACTTATCGTCACCGCTGGTGGTAAGAGCTACTTCTCTCGCTCAA